AGTATTTTCTAAACCATTTAAGAGTAAATTGCAGACACAATGCCCTTTTACCTCTAAGTATTTTTTTTCTAAAAATAAAGGATTCTGTTACATAGCCATAGTACAGTTTTCAGAATCAGGAAATTAACATTAAGTTACTACTATCATATAATCTACAGACCTTACTGAGATTTTGTTAGTTGTCCCTGTAATGTCCTTTATAGCAAAAGAAAATCCGAGATCATAAGATGCATTACACTGGCATGTCTCTTCAGCCTCCTTTAATCTGAATGATTTCTGAGTCTGTTTTTATATTTTGTTACATTGATTTTTTTAAGAATATAGGCCAGTTATTTGTGGATTTTCTCTCAATTTAGATTTGCCTGGTATCTTCTTACAATTATGTTCAGGTAATGAACTTTTGGCAGGAGAACCACTGAATGATACTGAGTGCTTCTCAGTGCACTGTATCGGGAGGCACCTGCTGCCAATTTAGTCCCAGCACTGACAGTGTTGACTTTCATCATTTGATTAAGGTGGTATCTGCCTAGTTTTTTCACTGTAAAGTTACTCCTTTGGTTTTTGTAACTATTTGTCTTTGAGACTATGTTAATGTCTTTTTAACACCTCAAACTTTCACCAACTACTTTGAGCATTTCTGCCTGAATCAAAATTTTATTATGATGTTTGGCTAAGAGGGATTTCTAATTTTACCCTTCCTTCTACATTTACTAGTTGCCTTGCTACTGTTAAGGAAGAACTTTCCCTTCTTTTCCTAGAACTTATGTATTTAGTTCAGCACAGACTCGTTATTATTTTAATTACCATTATTTATTTTGATACGCAGATATTTATTTTGATGTTCAAATGGTTTTTGATTTAGCCAGTGAGAGCGACTTCGAGTTGGCCCCAGTGTCTCTTTGACATGATCTCATCAGTCTTTGACCACTTTATGGTATTAAAAAACACTCCAAGGCCTGGCATGGTGGCTCACGCCTGTAATCCCAGCACTTTCGGAAGCCGAGGCAGGCGGATCACGAGGTCAAGAGATGAAGACCATCCTGGCCAACATGGTGAAACCCTGTCTCCACTAAAAATACAAAAATTATCTGGGCGTGGTGGCATGTGCCTGTAATTGCAGCAATTTGGGAGGCCAAGGCAGGAGAATCATTTGAGGTCAGGAGATCAAGGCCAGCCTGGCCAACATGGTGAAACCCCATCTCTACTAAAAAATACAAAAATATTAGCTGAACATGGTGATGTGCACCTGTAGTCTCTGCTACTCAGGAGGCTGAGGCAGGAGAACCGCTTGAGCCCTGGAGGCAGAGGTTGCAGTGAGCCGAGATTGTGCTACTGCTCTCCAGCTTGGGTGACTCCATCTCAAAAAAAAAATAATAATAAATAAAAATATAAAGATACTCCAGGCTCAGCTTGTCTTTTCCTTGTCGTAGCTCTGGAATTAACCATTTATCCAAGGACACTTTGATTCTTCAGTGGAGAATGAAATTTAGAAAATCAATATCTGGGGCTGGATGTACTCCTTGTGTCACTGTTTCTAGGCCTTCTCAGAGGACAGAACTAGGAAATAGACGTATACTTGTGTGCATATACACACATGTACGCTCCTTCATAAATGCACATCCACACTCACATATATCTATCTCTCTGCACTTTCTCATCTTTCTTTTTTTTTTCTCTTCTCTTCCTTCTATATATCTCTGTCTGTGTCTGTCTGCCTGTATGTCTGTACTAAAATTCATGAGTTCACACAGGTAATCCCCAATTCAAATGCAACACTCCATATTTCTAACTCCCTTGTCCAAGAGCATGAACGCTGGCTCTCGTTATTCACAATACATTTACTTTTTTGCTCAATCCTAGGATGTACAAAAAGTAGTTTCAGAATTGTAATCCGTCTCTGTGAAAAAAGAAGCCTGCAAATTAGAGTTCAGTAATTGTTTAGAGTACATTTATCTTTAGTCGGAGGGCGTATAGGCCAAATGCTATGTTCAAAAGTTACTGGGGTTAAGTTGTTTCATCTTCATTTTTTAGTGTGGTTATATTATTTATTTGAGATTCAGCTTGGTTTATTGATGTCTGTTGGTATTTATTTGAGGGTTTTCCACTATTCTTATGGATTTTTTTTTCTTCCTTTCCCTCTTTCTCCATTCATTTATTTCTTTTATTTCCTTCTTCCTGTCTCTTGTGTATATGTGAAACATTAACATGGTTCCAAATACAAAAAGGTGTATTCAGAAAAGTTATCTGCTACTCCATTCCCTCTTGCTTTTCCATCCTATTCTTACCTGTTCCCGTAGATAACTAATCTCATTAGTCTCTGATTTTTGTTTTCTATTTCTTTTTGTGCAAGTGATTCAGATGCATATATATTTTCTTATCTTTTTTTATGTGAAGGGTAGTGTATTATAAATAAATCTCTCCACATCAATTCATAGAAATGCCACAGAGATCTTCATTTTTTTTTTACGTCTTTGTTTTACTCTATTGTGTGGATAGACCATTGTTAATTCAGCTACTCTCCTCCATGGGCACTTATGATTGATTCCAATAATTTACAATTACAACACGGCATTGAGTAACTCTGTACATGTGTATTGTGGGAGGTGTATCTGCAGGGTAAATTCCTAGAAGTGAGACTCCTGGGTCAAAAGGTAAATGCCACACTTGTCCATCAAGTTGCCTGCTTGGGTCTCTTTCAAGTGTCTTTTCTTTCTTTCCTGCTGTAAAGCTTTTTAATTAAAAAAAAAAAAAAAACCGATGAATGCGTGTGTTTCTGTTAGATATTGCCAAATTCCCTCCATAAGAATTTTGTCAATTTACATTACCACCAGCACCTCTTCTATGAGGGTGCCTGTTTCCCACAGCCTTACCAACAACATGTATCGCTGTACTTTGAAATGTTTGCTAATCAGTTGGATAGGAGATGGTATTTCCGTGTATTTTTAATTTGTGTTATGAGATTGAACATCTTTTTATGTATTAAGGACCTTTTTTAATTTGTATTTTTTTTTTTTTTTTTTAGTAGAGATGGGATTTAACTGTGTTGGCCAAGTTGGTCTCAAACTCCTGACTTCAAATGATCCACCCGCCTCAGTCTCCCAAAATGCTGGGATTATAGGCATGAGCCACTGCACCAGGCCTATACCTTAGTTTAAAAAAAAAAGTCAATGTATAGAAACCCTTTGTATTAGCAAGTATTTTCTTACAGGTTTTCTGTTCTTTTGACTTTTTTCTTTTATTGCATATGGATTTTGTGTCAGTTAGAAAGCCTTTCCCTATACCTAGCTTAAAGTGAAATTCACTCATATTTTTTTTTCTAGTACTTCTGTCAAATCCTTGAGATATTTTAGATTATTTTTAATTTTGGAAGAAAACTTTTTTCCAAACACTGTTCATTAGTCTGTGTACTTGTCAGGTGATATCTATTTGTTTTTTCTTTAGTGAGGTTTTTAACTACTTTTTAAAAATCCAGAATACTTTCCTGAAGTTTTATCACTGTGGATTATTTTTAAGTGACTCCTGATGCATGTGATTATGTAAACACATTCATTGTGAGAGCTGGGGAGGCCATCTCCAGGTAAAGGCATCACAGGATTTGGTTCATTTAATTTGTAGGCATGGATCCTCCTCAGGTTATTTACCTGTCTTTGACAGATTCATTCTGGAAGGCCTAAGGAGGGTACATATTGAAAGCCGTAAATTTGTTTCTTTCCTTTAACCTGATAATCCTAGAACAGACCATTTAGCCTAAGGAAATAATTTTAAAAGGTTAAAAAACTAAATGTATGGAGATATTAATTGAGGTAATATTTCTATTAGTGGAAAAACTGGTACAATCTAAATGTTTATTAATAAGGTTATAGTTAAGCATGAAAAGACCATTCATCGGATTTTGGAAAATGCAACCATGAAAAATAAGAACTGTAGGAATATGGAAACATGCTTATGTTTAAGTGCAAAACAAAACAAACTTGTTATTTATTATGAGGAAAACTGACCAAAACTTGAGCCTGTGTAAGAAAGCATAAGTGGACTGTTTTGAGCAAGATCCTCTTAGGGGCAGGATAAAAGATGGATCCAGCCACCAGATGAAGTCTCAGGAAGACCTGAAGAAGTATTATTAGACGGCTTGGGTCTGGTGTGCTATGTGATACTATCCCTGGAGCAAATTTTAAGAAAGCTCCAATGGGTTATATTGGCCACTTGCTGGAGCCTGGCATTTTGAAATAGGACAGAAGTCCGTAACTGGGAAATTGAAGGACTTAGCAGTTGTCACTTGAATCTTTCTGGGTTGACTTTTAGAGGTGGTTCCCAGTATGACATTAGTACACAGAAGGATAATAGTATGGGACTGGATGATTGCAGAATAGAACCAGGGCTATGCGATGAACCCAAGGGTGTAGGAGAGTGGTGGTGTCTATCAATAAAACAGAAAAATACTTCTTTTTTTTTTTTTTTTTTCTTTTTTGAGACGGAGTTTCGCTCTTGTTACCCAGGCTGGAGTGCAATGGCGCGAACTCGGCTCACCGCAGCCTCCACCTCCCGGGTTCAGGCAATTCTCCTGCCCCAGCCTCCTGAGTAGCTGGGATTACAGGCATGTGCCACCATGCCCAGCTAATTTTTTGTATTTTTAGTAGAGACGGGGTTTCACCATGTTGACCAGGATGGTCTCGATCTCTTGACCTCGTGATCCACCCGCCTCGGCCTCCCAAAGTGCTAGGATTACAGGCTTGAGCCACCGCGCCCGGCCAGAAAAATACTTCTTAGCGCTAACGATCTGGTGGGCGAAATTTTAGAAATTTGATTATAGACATGTACCAATTGTGCAATAGGTAATTTTTCTAATGTCTGCTTACTTGTATTTGCTTTTTAAAGAACCAGCTGCAGTTTAATAGGAATGTTCCTACCCATTCAAGCAACTTGGCAATCCGATATTCTTGCCCACATGCCATTAGAATTGAAAAACTGAAGCACTTGTACAATGAATCATACCATTGTAAAGACGCAGATTGTAGAGTTGGTCCTGACCTAGGCAGTTCTGTTTCATTTTCCGTCATATCAGAAGAGAGACTTAGCTATGCCGTCCACCTGGCCAGAAGAGATGTGAAACGAAGACAATTCGAAGAACACATGAAAGAACATCATCTCAGAAGTCAGCCTCAAAGCTCTCAGAAGTGTGGACATACTAAGTGTAAAATACCTGACCACAGGGTGGAAAGGAAGGAACCAAAGAGTCAAGCAGTCTGTCAGTGCAGCCACCAGCCATCCAAAGTAGAAATCTCCAGCTCAGGCGCCAAAGTATACCTTTACTCATCTCATCCAGGCCAGTCAGATCTAGATCTTACCATGCCAAATTCACCACCCACCCATGATCCGGGACTTCAGCCTCATCCCAGGATAGGTGACCACAAAAACATCAGTGAACAGAAAAGCCTGCTAGAAGTCCAGCGACTCCAGAAAGAATTGAGCAGTTGTATCCACAAAATTGAAGAGGTAACTAAAAAAGGTGAGAAAAATTTGATTCTTTGCTTTGACCTAAGGCTGTGAGTGTGAGATAGTTTAAATGCATTCCTTCAGGACTCCCAGCCCCTACAGCAATTTCATTCCTTCCTTTGTGTGTTGGTTCACTGGAGTGTGAGCACTCAGGACAAGACAGGCTTGGAGTTTGACCCGTGTCTTGCCCCAGCTCCTCTTTCCAGCAGAGGGACATGAAGGAACTTCCTCACTGTGGCTGCCCTTGGAATGTGCACTGCCTGAGGGCCCAGCCTAGGAAGTGGCATTAATGTTGTCTGAACCTGAGGTCTTCTGGCTCCTGAGTGCAAATTATCCTATCATGTTTTCCCTCTTCTGGGAAAATAATTTTTTTAATTTGCTCAAAAAAAAAGCGTAATGTATATATGTTATAGATAAAACCCATTCTCCCTTGGGCAGTATTTAGGTAAGTATACACCAATGACAAGGGAAGTTGTGGGTATATGTGTAAAATGTTTGACCACAGGGTAGAAAAGAAGGAGTATAATCATCATATATGTTTTTCTACAGTTCTGCAGTGTTCTCAGGGCCCTTGCATTTCCCTGCTGAGGAGAAGACTGGTTCCACTGGAGAATTTGGGGTTACTGTACTAACAAGTAGGAAATCAAGCCCAGCTTTCAGACAGCAAGGGTTACAGAGTTGAGCATCAAAAGAAACTGTTACACTAGGATACTACACAGCCTAGAATTATTTTTTGTATTTTCAATTTAATATATGCATATGTGCATATGTGCATCTTATGTAAAGAATTTAAGGTACCTTAAGAAATACCTGTGATTGAACAAGATAAAACAAAAATGTGCATGAGTATATTGTGGCAGAGGAAAAAATAAGAAAGGAAAAACATTTACTAGGGATGACTCACAAATTTGCTTCTGAGCTTCTAGAAGCCAGCTAAAAAGGGAGCTTCAATCACCTGGAGAATTTACAAAGTCTAAGACAGAAAAAAACTATTGCATAAGGAAAACAATTATTCCACATATTAAGGCCAGAAAGAAATTTCTCCTGTGGGTCTTCTTAAAGAATGTGTTATATAATGAACAATTCAAAAATGTTTCAGTATAAAAGTAACAGAAATGTTGTGGCTTGTTTCTTCTGACACGACTTAGTGTCAGCCTGTGGCATGACTCCCCACATACTTTGAATAGAAGCCCTGCTACCAGGGGAATGAAGCCGTGAGGTCCACTGCTCTGGTGATCTGGCCTAATACGGGGGAACTGTTAGAATAGAGCTTTCAAAGTCTCCATGAGGAAGGACTGGGTTGGTTTATTTTATTTACAAAGATTTTCAATCTGTCACAAGTCAATACCTTGTGAACTGTAATGAAAATGTCACAGTAGTGGCAAACTGGTATGGAAATACATAAATGTATAGTTTAAATTTCTGTCCTTACCTTTCATGGACTAATAATAGTTTGCGTAGCCCCTTGCTGCAAACCCTCTTTCAAGTAACCCTGAAGCACCCATTTGTGCTTCCCAAATGCTGCTTTGTAGACTGACACAAGTGCTGCATCAGAGTCATCTGCAATGAGCCTTCAAAACCTGCCACCTAAGCCTGTCCCATTCCTGTTCATATAAATATAGGAATCCAGATTTTCTCCCTACCATGCAGCCCAAACAAGAGATGAAAATAATTAGACATATAGGCTCTCATGAGACTGCGTCTGTATGTACATCTCCTGACTGCAGATTTCTGCTTTCTTCCAAACAGGCTTACGCTCTTTGCATTGTTTGATGTTTCCTTTTTTAACTCCCATATCATCCTTTTTTATTTATTTTTTATTTTTTTGAGACGGGGTATCACTTCATCAGCCTGTTTGATGTTTTAAAGAGTAAATATTAAAAATTTGAACTTATAAAATATACTTTTACTAATTAAAGATTGTCTTTTCTTTGACAATTGGAATATATTGAAGTTTTGTATAAGAATTTGTTTGTGTAAGTGTATTTGAAAACCAGGTCCTGGAAGGAATAGATAAATTGTATCTCCTTTAGGCAATTTTCCAGAAACAGTTTCTTTGAACCAATCTCTCGAAGATGTAGAGCACCAGTGTGTACAAGGGGATGCTTCCTGAGAAATACATGAAGACTCTAGACACTCAAATAATTTTGAGACTTGCTATCTTAATATGTTAGAGAAAGGATTTGTCGTTTGAATTCAAGATTAAGGCTGGGCATGGTGGCTTACTCCTGTAATCCCAGCACTTTGGGAGACTGAGGTGGGCAGATCACTTGAGGCTAGGAGTTTGAGACCAGCCTGGCCAACATGGTGAAAAACCCTGTCTCTACTAAAAATACAAAAAGTAGCTGGGAGTGGTGGTGTGGACCTGTAGTCTGAGCTACTCAGGAGGCTGGGGCATGAGAATCACTTGACCCGGAGGTGGAGGTTGCAGTATGAGACTGGTGACAGTGTGAGACTCTGCCTCAGAAAGGAAAAGAAAAAAAAAGATTAAGATAAGCTGCTATCTTAATATCTCTCTCTCTTTTTTTTTTTTTTTTTTTTTTTTTTTTTTTTTTTTTTTTTTTTTTTTTTTTTTTTTTTTTTTTTTTTTTTTAAGACAAAGTCAGTCTCACTTGGTCGTCCAGGCTGGAGTGTAGTGACACAATCTCAGCTCACTGCAACCTCTGCCTGCTGGGTTCAAGCAGTTCTCCTTCCTCAGCCTCCTGAGTAGCTGGGATTACAGGTGCATACCACCACGCCTGGTTAATTTTTGTATTTTTAGTGGAGACAGGGTTTTACCATGTTGGCTGGGCTGGTTTCAAATTCCTCACCTCAGGAGATCTGCCCGTCTCGGCCTCCCAAAATGCTGGGATTGTAGGTGTGAGCCACCGTGCCTGGCCGGGATTTCTCTTTTGAATTAAACATTTGATTATTCTCTGTTAAACAGCAAAGAGTAAAGAGCGTGTTAAGTGTCTTTCAAGACATACTGAGTGGCTGATAAACAGGCATTTATTAATACCTTCTTTACATTGTAAAGCTAATCTTGCTAAACATAAAAATAGGCCAATAAGGAGTTTTTGAAAAAATAGCAAGAATAACAGATTCTGGCTCAATATAAGGAATTCTAAAATAGTAAGAGATGCCTCACAATGAAATCGCAGTCCAGTGGGAATTCTGGCTGTAGGGGAGCTTGATGGAGTAAATGTCTTCATGTCTCTTCCATCTCTCAGCCAGTACACAGGTCCACTTACTGCTGGTTCTTAGCTGATGAAAAATGAAATTTTCTGTTATGATAGCCTCATTTTTTTTCTTAATAAAACCAGAGATCTTCAACTTCATTATTTTTGTAAGTAATCAACTTCTATAAGCTTTATTATAAGGTTTATAATCCACTTTTGGGGAAAACTATTAATATTTTCAGATAGACTAGAAGAAGCTTTGGATCCAGATGAAGAACGTCGAGTCCGTATCAGGAGACAGGAGCAAGCTGTTCGCTCTGCCCGAATGCTCTACGTCCTCCAGCAGCAGGTGTGAAAAGTTCAGGGAGAAGTAGTGCAGTCAGCCTTGTGTACTGCTTCCTTAGAGAGTTTCAGTTTTCCTTTTGTCTCAGACAGTTTAGCGCTAGAGTATCCCATAGGAGTTCTGACAGATTTGTGAGGCTCAATTTCCTGAACACATGGGTAAATAATTCACATTCTTGTTGTAATCTGCCTCTGTGTGTGTGTGTGTGTGGCCAAACTTCTTAAACAGAGGTTCTTGATTTTTTGAGGTCATAGACTTTTGAAAATCTATTAAAAGCCACTCCTCCCCATCCCCAAGGTGCTTATACATTATATAGCACATGTTTTTGTATAGGAAGTCAGGTGGGATCAGTTACCCTGAACCCTTGGTCCTAGCTATGGACCCTAGTGCTAGAGGAAAGAGACCTTGTTAGTTTCCCATGTATTTCATGTTTATAATATTAGAAGCTTGTAGATAGTAAATAATTTGATTATTCCTTATTAATTCGATTATTCTTTACAGCAAAGAGTAGAGTTCATGCTAAGTGTCTTCCAGGACACCTTTAGTGGCTGATCCACAGGCATTTATATTCTTTACATTGTGATGGATTTTTAAGAAGTGTTTGCTTTGATTTTAATGCCTTATACGTTGGCAAGCCATTTATTCATTTCTGGTCACTGAAGTCACATGTTAGCCTTACTGCTTGAACCAAAAACTGTATTTTTCATTTTTAAGAAAATACCTGAGTTAGATTTTCCACTGTATTCTTTTGGGTTCTATTTCAGTTCTTATTCTATGCTGCTGCTGTAGAGATTGCTCTAAAACATGACTCTTGTCAGACCTCTGCTGAAAAGACTTTAGTGGCTCTCTGTAACTTAGAGGATGAAAGCTAAACTCTTCAGCATGGCATGTAAGACTTCATGATCCGGCCTGCCTCCATTTCTAGAGTCACCTCCACCTTCACTCCTTCATGCTAAATTCCTATTACACTGGGGACCAAGGGATGGAAGGTGAACACTGCCTAGTCACCACCATGAACTGGAAACCAGTAACTGTATTTTGGGTGCCTTTTTTCATTTTTAAGTGACTTGAATTAATAATGGTTATGTTTTAGATACATCACTGTATCCTTTTTTACAAAAAAGATCAGTGGAAAGGTATGAAGTTTCTTCTTTCCCCTTTTTATAAAACAGGTAAAAGAAATCCAGGAAGAGTTGGATAAATTGAGTCCACATAAAATTAAACACACTAAGAAGGTATGCTGCAATTAAATTATGATCAATTCTTATTTAAAAATCACATTTCCCAATGTTTTCTTAGTATTGTATAAGGCCCTCTGCACTAATGTTATTTTCAGTACTTATGGAAACCTGTTCATGAGGGAGTGAGCACCTTAAATATTCTGAATATGGTTGCCTTCCAAGGAACAAGTTCTAAAAAATAGATTTTTGTTGTTGCTGCTGATATAAGAAATTGGGAGGAGTAGGGAAAACACCGTCACTAGAAAACTTTAAACTTTACAACTCCCTTTACTATGAAAAGGTTTTCACTGTAGAGAGCATTTTATACAGAAAGAAGATAGGCTATAAATATTGTTAGAAGCTGGGTGAATGTTAGGAAGTTCTGAGTGTGGAAATAATTTCTCCATCTTGTTTGTTACCAGTCATGGGCAATGTCTAGGCTGGCAGCTGCCCATCGAGGAGCCATTCGGGCCTTACACATGTTCGTCACTCAGTTTACTGACCGAGGGGAGCACCCCCTTCCTGCTCGGTGCAGGGAACTGGGCAGCCTTATTCGCCAGCTTTCACTTTGTTCTGCCAAACTGGATGCAGACCCTTCTGTTCCTGATGTGGTTATAGACATTCTGCAACAAATTGAGGTATGGAATTGATTACAGTTTTTGTTAGGGGTGTATTGCAAGTAATGCTTACTATTACCTAGTTTCATTAGGATTTATGGAGAACACAAGATAAAGCTGTTACCTAGTGAATTAAAGCTTTGCAGAGGGCCCAAGGATCACTTCATTTTTATTTTGTTATTTTTACGTTCTAGCCTATATTATCGTATTTCACTACTTTGAAAATTGGTGACTTGAGTATAAAACATGTAACAACTTTAACCAGGCTCATTAACTAAACAGAATGTCCTATTCCCTGGCCCATGCCATTTAAGAAAAAAATGTAGAAAAGGAAACCAGAAAAACATTCTTAAATTAGAATATCAGTGTTTAATTTAGATGGATTTTTGAAAAGAAGAAACACTGAAAGATACAGTATGTGGAATCAGAGCCTCAAATCTGGTGATATAGCTAGAGACTTGTAGAAATCTCAGCTGGCATGTATTAGACAGGAATGGATAATGTTCTTAGTTTTCATTGGTGACAAAGACAACAATAGCAATATGCCATTAATTTTATAGTTCTCTGAAGTTTGCATGGTGTTACTATGTAATTATGCCATTTGAACCTTTCTGTGGCAGTATGCTTTGAAATTGGTTTTACTACTGTTGTACAGATTAAGATTTTTTTAGAAAAAGCAAAAGTAGGAGAGATGACAGTTATTTTCTTGGGAGCTAGAGATCAAATTCTATCTTCTGACTCCCATGCTAGTATTAGTTCCCCTATGCCACACATTTTCATCCGCAAATAGAAAGGTGATCTTTATGTTAGTATGGCATAGTAAGCTGTTAGCTGTAGAAGAATTCTAGATTAATGACACTCCAGTTCTGCCACCATTAACTAGGTCTTGGAGGTCTTTAAGGCCCCTTCTGCCTTCATAGGTTCATTATCAAGCAAATGTGTCTGTGATTTTCATTGGTTACATTCGTATATGTAGAACTCACAGTGAGGAATGCTATTGTCAAATGCAGACCTCAGAATTTTAGGCAGCATATCAAGTCATGTGATGCTTTTTTAACTTATCCATAAGAAGCATTTATGGGCCGAAATAACTTCATTTAGAGTATACATCTTCGTAATCCTAGAAGGGATCTGAAGAGGCTGTCTAGGCCCTCTCCCACATTTTGAGCTTGAGTAAGAGTACCTCTAACATCAGGTTTCTTTCTTTCTTTCTTTCTTTTTTTTTGAGATGGAGTCTCACTCTATCACCCACACTGGGGTGCAGTGGTGCAATCTCAGCTCACTGTAACCTCCGCCTCCCAAGTTCCAGTGATTCTCCTGCTTCAGCCTCCCGAGTAGCTGGGATTACAGGTGCCTGCCACTGAACCTGGCTAATTTTTGTATTTTTAGTAGAGACGGGGTTTCACCATATTGGCTGACCTTGTGATTCACCTGCCTCGGCCACCCAAAGTGCTGGGATTATAGGTGTGAGCCACTGTGCCTGGCCCAACATGTTACTTAAACAGAATGTTTATCTCCCCTACTTTTCAAAATGCAAGACGTGTTGTCTTTCCTGTTGTGACCTTACACCATTTCACAGCGCATTTTCTTACTATGTTACTATTCTCTGAACAAAACCTTCCTGACTGTGTGCAGTTGTCCTTAATCTGTATCGACCAGGTGGAGACTGGGCGCTGACTTCCCAGTAATGAATGGGTGGGAACTTATTAGAGAAAATGCCATTTTTAGGAAGGTGAGACACAGATCTTCTACTCTTGTTGTGTTGGACAAGTGACCAAAGCCACTGGACCTACTAAGTGTCCTTTAGTTCATGAAAATGTATGTTAAATATAGGATGTTTGCCCACTTCAAAGACTATTTGAGTTTATGAGATTTTTGTTGATGATTAAAATGCTTTTGAAGCAGATAGGATAATATTCTGAAGAATATAATTTCTAAAATGATGATCCTTTAAGATTTGGATGCCTTTAAAAGTAGTCATATTCGTTCTCTCTTTGCTGTTGGCTTTAGTGAGCTACACATCTGAAAGAACTCACAGATATTGTTGATACTAATTAATTAGATATCCTAAATAATGACATTTTAAAATTAAGATTTTGTTAACTGTCAGAGATAGCCATTTAATAACACATTTCTCTGGAGTCCTTACTTTCAGTTTGGGATTAAAAGTATACTTTTGTGAGATAAACTAAAAATAATTGACTGTTTCATGGCAGGCTTTGGAGTCTCTCTTGGAAAAGAAACTGTCACCAAAAAAGATGAAAAAATGTTTCAGTGAAGTGTGGAGCAGATTTCCTATTGGTAGCCAAAAGACCTTAGAGAGATGGCCAAGTACATCACCAAGGGGCGAGAGGAGACCCTTCACAGCAAAGAACACATTTCCACAGGAAACAAGTCGCCCTCCTGTGGCAAAGAAGCTTCTTGCTGGTATGTCTCTTAAAGTTTTTATTGCAGGATATTTTATTCATTAAAGTTATCTGGGCTATAACAGTTACTGCACTCGGGAAGGTCAGGATTTAGGACCTAGCCCACAATAGATGAACTTTAACTAGGATTAGTAAACAGCAACCAAGATGCTTCCTTAGGTTAGAGGCTGTAATATTCTATATATAGAGGAAGGTTGAGAGTAACATTTCCTTTTGCTACGTCGTAGTGTTTGGGCTACCCAAGGCAAATTCCCTTAGAGCTGGAAGCTAGAACCCTACTTTAAAAAAAAGTTTATTTTATTTTAATGATTGCACTTTAAGTTCTGGGATACATGTGCAGAACTTGCAGGTTTTTCACACAGGAATACATGTGCCATTGTGGTTTGCTGCACCCGTCANATATATATATATATTTTTTTTTCTCAGATAGTTAAATAAACGTTTGTTATTCCAAGAAGTAGAATTGTTAGGCGATACAGTATGCACATTTAAACAGATACTGCCAACTTGCCCCTTTAAAGTGGGCACACATTTATGTCTTGACTAGCAGTGACATCAGTATATATTTCCCCACATCTTCACCAAGTACATTATATAATAAAGTTTTAAAAATTTTCCAGTCTCAGTGGACAGTGGCATCTTCTTGTTTCATATTGCATTTCCTGATTCCTGGTGAGGGTTATCGTTTCTTTCACATGCTCCTTAGCCATGTTATCTCCTTTTCTGTAATTTGCCTGTTCATATTCTTTATCCATCTCCCTGCTGGGTTCTAAGTATTTTGCTTATGGATGTATATGTTATGATACTACATTTTGTTGGTCTGAGGTACACATTTGAATGCTTCTGAAATCATTATTAGTTGATGATAACTTGTAGTTAATTGTAAAATTTTAACATTGTAAACATTTTAAACATTTTTAAATTCCTGTTGATGTATAAACTACTGATGTGTCTTATAATTGATGTTTTAGATTTGATGAAATATGGGGCTTGGTTACTTAACTCTTGTATTTCTCTAGCTAGATGAGATTATCTATAAATAAATATGGACAAATCCAGTAAACTTTTTTTTTTTTTTTTTTAATTAAAGTAGAACATACAAGCTGGGTGCCATGGGTCACACCTAGCACTTAGAGAGGCCAAGGCAGGTGGATTGCTTGAGCCCAGGAGTTTGAGACCAGCCTGGGCAATGTAAGTAGACCCTGTCTCTACAAAAAATGCAAAAACAGACAGGAGTAGTGGCTCACATCTGTGATCCCAGCTACTTGGAAGGCTGAGGCAGGAGGATCACTTGAGCCTAAGAGATGGAGGTTGCAGTGAGCTGAAATTGCACCACTGCACTCCAGCCTGGGTGACCGAGTGAGCCCCTGATTTAAAAAAAAAAAAAAAAAAAAAGGGTAGAACATAAAGATAGAAAAGTACACAAAATATAGATTTATAGCTCAATTAATTACCAGAAAACAAAAACGTCTCTATAACTACTATCCAATTCAAGGAATAGAACATTACCAGCATCTAAGAAATTCCCCTTTGAATCACCCCTTCCAGTCTTTATCTTCTTCATCTTCCCCAGATTATTCTGATTTTTTTTTTTTTTTTTTAAACAGAGTCTTGCTCTGTTGCCCAGGCTGGAGTGCAGTGGTACGATCTTGGCTTACTGTATCCTCTGCCTCCCAGGTTCAAGTGGTCCTCCTGCATCAGCCTCCTGAGTAGCTGGGATTACAGGCATGTGCCACCACACCTGGCAAATTTTTGTATTTTTATAGAGATGAGGTTTTACCATCTTGGCCAGGCTGGTCTTGAACTCCTGACCTCGAGTGATCTACCTGCTTTGGCCTCCCAAAGCGTTGGGATTATAGGCGTGAACCTCCTTGCCTGGCCTGTTATTGGCGTTTTTAACTGTTTTAGAGTTCTATATTTAATCTACTTATATTTAATGAGATTAATGACATATTTGAACTTTGTTCTACCTTATTTTGATTTTCATTTGCCAAAGTTTTTTTCTTTGTTGTAAGTTACTACATTAATCAAGATTTTATTTCATTTTTTCCTCATTGATTTGAAAGTTATATATCTATCAGTCCAGAATTCAGCTGATTTATCTCTCAATCTGCCACTCTTCTGTGGAACCTTAATAGTTTAGTGTGCGACTTCTATCACAAGCGTAACTGTAAGAGACAGGACTGTTTTCCTACATACTTAAGACTCTCAGTACTTCAACTCTGACACCAAATGTGTGGATGTTTTTTGCCACACTAAACAATTATCCAGGGGACACCAACTGGGTATCCTGTAATTCAACTCAATTCTGACACCATCTACCTGGAATTGGAGTCAGATACCATTGGTTAAGTTTCAGTCCTATAAGACACCCCAACTTTAGGCACCAATCCCAAGTTTCAGGTTGTGACCTATACTTCTGATTGACAGGCTATAAAATTGGGATTCCTTTGACCCACTCCTGGGGTTTGCTAGGGTGGCTCATAGAACTTAGAGAAACACTTTACTTATGTTTACCCATTTATCATAAAGGGTATTTATAGAGGACACAGATGGAAGAGGTGTATAGGCCAAAGTATAACATGTGAAAGGGGCATGGAAGCTCCCCTCCAGGAACCTCCCCATGTTTACCATCCTGGGAGCTCTTCAAACCCTGTAGTTCAGGGATTTTTACAGAGGCTTCATCACATAGGCATGATCGATTATTAACTCAATCTCCAGCCCCTCTCTGCTACCTGGAGGATGGAGGATGGAACCGTCAATTCCAAGCTTCCAGTCATTGCATGTTCTTTCTGGTGACCAGCTCCCATCCAGAAGTCCTCCAAGAGTCACCTCATTAGAGGAAAAAAAAAAGTTTCCTTAGCCAGGAAATTCCAAGGGATAAGAGCTCTGTGTCAGGCAGTGGGGTTAAAGACCAAATATTAGGAAAAAAGATGAACCTAGCACCCCTAATGCTCAGGAAATTAGAGTAGTTTTAGGAGCTCTGTGCCAGAAGCTGGGCTAGAGACCAAATATATGTTTTTTATTGTATTACAACAAAAATCCAATTAATTCATTTCCATTAGGTATTTACTCACTTTAGTGGGATGTTCTCTTTCCTTCACTGGCAGGCAGGTAGAACTAATATAGTATCTTCCCTCTAATTAGGAAGGCTGCATTTGCCAGCCTTTCCCTTGAGGGTGGGTGTCAGATTTATTTGTCCTTGTATTCTCTATGCCAAGCCCAGCATCTGCCATATAGTTAGGCACTTAAGTGCTTGTTGAAAGACCTGTGAAGAAGTGTAATTGAGTAAGAAAAGATTTCTGAGCAGCAAATCACAGTAACTTGAATCCTGGGTGCTAGGGAGCTCATTTTGATAGACTGGTGGAAATGGAGAGAACATTCCAGGCCTTCACACAGAGAAGTATTAGCTAAATGAGTTAGAAGATTTGAGGTGCCCATCAGCTGACTAGTGAAAAATAGAGACCAGTTTCAGAAAGAAGCTGGAAAATCTGCTGACCTAAAACTCGTTACAGGAACAAATGTAGGAAAGCTGGGAGGCAGAAGGAGAAAACTTGGACCAAGAATTCCTAGATTCCAGTCACAGCTCTGCCAGTTTGTAAATCTGAGTTGACTTAATCTGTCTGAATCTTAATTTTTTTTTTTTTTTAGACGGAGTCTTGCTCTGTCGCCCAGGCTGGAGTGCAATGGCATGATCTTGGCTCAACAACAACCTCCACCTCCCAGGCTGAAGCAGTTCTCCTGCCTCAGCCTCCCAAGTAGCTGGGATTACAGGTGTGTGCCACCCTGCCCAGCAAATTTTTTGTATTTCTAGTAGAGATGGGATTTTACCATGTTGGTTAGGCTGGTCTCAAACTCCTGACCTCAGGTGATCCACCTGCCTCAGCCTTCCGAAGTGCTGGGATTATGGGTGTGAGCCACTGCACCTGGCCTGAATCTTAATTTTTTCATTTATAAAATGGGAAGGATAGTCTTTGTGTTTTGTGACTGACTTAGTTGTTGTAAGTGGTAAATTATCTAATTGCTAAATGCTGTGAAAATGTAAGGTGGCATTTTTGGTTCTTAGTAATAGCGCCAAGTTGTTAAGAAAAGGCTAGATTATGTTAGGCATATTCTAACTAAGCAAACAAATATTTGGTGGCTGTTTTAAAAGGAGTTTTTTGAGGTCATAGAGAAGTAAACTTCAGCTGTCTAGGAAATGTATTTATGGGGAACAGCTCTACAGTCCCTGACAGGGCAGGATGAATGGGCCTCGCCTGGGACCGAAAGTCAGAAGACTTGGCTTTGCTACTCCTTGGGACCTTAAGTAAAATACCTAAGATTGTGGTAATCTTCTTAGTCTTATTTTATATTTGTTGTTTTTTTCTTGTCCTTATGATCTGGATTTCAGGTTACATTTTCCTGTTTCTGTTTTAGGTATCGCTCTACCCAGTTTTTCCATTCTGATTTCCTAAGGTCTCCTCTTCCCCACCCACCCCTGAAAAAATACCCTAGGAAATCACTTTACCCTATGGAAAACCCTCCGTATGCACTCTTCATTTGGGATATATGCTTGAGCCTGATTTGATCAGCTGTCCTGTGATTTACATAATAGTTGGCTGGGACAGTTTCTTTGTAGCTTCTGAACTATTCTTGCAGTGGTTGATTGCATTAGTGTAACTTGTCAGCTATGAAGATGGTGGCTTCATTCCCACTATCAGCAGTGTCCTCAAACTCACTCCTGAAACCTATGCTGCATTTACATGCTGACCTATGCAAATCATAACTGGAAGGGCAGGACCTACAGTAGGCAAATCACAACTGGAAAGGTATCAGGACCTACAGTCAGAGTTGCTTGGATATATATAAACTTGGGAATTAAATAAATTACAGACCAAGGATTTAGTTTTACCATTCTTCCCTTCTGATTTATATTTCCTTGCTGTGTAACTTCTATAGCTTTGAAAAGTACCTAATTAAAGAGGATGCAGTGCCAGGATATCTGACCCTTGACTCACTAGTAAAGTAGTCCAAATGTAGTTTTCCTTTGATTATGAAATATTTAAAATATACAGAAAGGACTAAAAAGAATAATATTGTATATCCATTACTTAGATTTAATAAATTTTAACATTTTTGCTTTCTTCAGATTTTTTTTTATAGAAATAAAATACAGCACAGGTTGAGTAGTATCCCTTATTTAAAATCCTTGGAATCAGAAGTGCTTTGGGTTTAAACTTTTTCTGGATTTTGGAATATTTATATTACACCTACCGATTGAGCATCCCAAATCCAAAAATTTGAAATCCAAAAGGCTCCAATGAACATTTCCTGGGAGCATTTTGTTGGCACTCCCAAGTTTCCAATTTTGGAGCATTTTGGATTTTGGATTTTTGGGATTCAGGATGCTAAACCTGTAGTCCCTCATATCCACAGGGGATACATTTCAAAGCTCCCAGTGTATACCTAACACTGAAGATTTGCCGTCATTTGGAACACATTTCTGTTCATGTCTTCCAGCCATGAGTTTAATTCCTTTTCCATCCTAACTAAGCATTTATCATGAACTGTGGCCATAATTTTTCAGCTGGAGATTTGACAACAAAACTAGCTTTGAATTTCTTTTTCCTTCTTCACAATTTCATGAATAGAAGATTCAGTCTTACTAGAATTAGTAATATCATCATATGATTTTTTTTCTCTTATTAAGTGGAGAACTTTTACTTTTTCACTTAAAGGGCACATTTTCCAGCTTCTTCAGTGTATCTGAATTGCCAGCATCACTATAGTTGCTCTTTGGGGCCATTATGAAGTCAAATAAGGGTTACTGGAACACAAGCACTGCAATACGGGACAGTTGATCTGATCACCGAGACAGCTACTAGGTGACTAGCAGGCAGAGACCATCAACAGCGTGGATACACAGTTTAAAAGTTATGGGCTGGGTATGGTGGCTCGCACTGTAATCCCAGCACTTTGGGAGGCTGAGGTGGGCAGATCATGAAGTCAGGAGTTCGAGACCAGCCTGACCGACTTGGTGAAACCCCATCTCTACTAAAAATGCAAAAGCCAGGCATGGTGGTACACACCTATAATTCCAGCACTTTGGGAGGCTGAGGCGGGTGGATCACTTGCCATCAGGAGTTTGAGACCAGCCCGGCCAACATGGTGAAACCCCGTCTTTACTAAAAACACAGAAATTAGCCGGGTGTGTTGGTACATGCCTATTGTCCCAGCTACTTGGGAGGCTGAGACAGGAGAATTTCTTGAACCCGGGAGGCAGAGGTTGCAGTGAGCCAAGATCATGCCACTGCACAGCCTGGGCAACAGGGTGAGACTCCATCTCAAAAATAAAAAGTAAAAAAGAATGAAACTTACGAATTGTTTATTTCTGGAATTTCCCATTGAATATTTTTGGACCCAGAGCTGCTGAAGGATAACTGAAACTGGGGAAAGAGAAATGGGATGACAGTACAGTTGAGGTCCCTTTTGTATTTTTCCCCTCATTCCATTCTCTTTCTTCCCTCACTAGAAGTTACTATTGTTATTATATTCTAGACCTGTTGTTTTTATATTTGTACTGCTTGTATGTCTGTCCATAAACCATGTATAGTATTGTTTTATGTAAATATCTTATAATATGCATCATTTTGCAGTTTGCTTACCCCCCACTTATGTTTGTAAGGTTTTCTCATGTTGATGCATGAATTCTCATTTATTAATTTTACGGCTGTATAGGTTTCTCTTATATGAATATACCATAATTTATTTTTCAGCTCTTATTGATGGACATTCTGGTTGTTCCCGGTTTTTTGCTTTTATAAACAATGATGAAGTGAATATCTGTGTTCCTGGCTTCCTCTGTGCACATAAGAGAGTTCCTCTAGGCTTAGTATATACCCAGGATTGAAATGGCTTGGTTGCAGTGTATGTAAATCTTCAACTGTACTAGAGCAATCAGGTTGCTTTCCAAAGCAGCTGGGGAATTTACTGCCACGCTAATAGTCTGTGAGAATACTTGTTTTTCCACATCTTTTGATGGATTTAAAATGACATGTCATTGTTTGAATATTTTTTATTTTAGGTGAATTCAGTCATCTTTTCATATTTTTATTGACAATTCAGATTTTCTGTCTGAATTGCCAGTTTCTTTCCTTTGCCTATTTCTCCATTGGATTGTTTATTTGTCTTATAGTTTTGTAGGTGTTCTTTATGTAGTCTAGATACTCATCCTATGTTGATTATATGCATTGTAGAGATCTACTTCCATACTTTGGCTTGCCTATGGACTTTAAGGATGTCTTTTTGTCAGATGGAAGTTGTAGTTTAGTCCAATTAAGTTCAAATATGTCAGTATTGCCGGGCGCGGTGGCTCAAGCCTGTAATCCTAGCACTGTGGGAGGCCGAAGCGGGTGGATCACGAGGTCAAGAGATCGAGACCATCCTGGTCAACATGGTGAAACCCCGTCTCTACTAAAACTACAAAAAATTAGCTGGGCATGGTGGTGCGTGCCTGTAATCCCAGCTACTCAGGAGGCTGAGGCAGGAGAATTGCCTGAACCCAGGAGGCGGAGGTTGTGGTGAGCTGAGATTGTGCCATTGCACTCCAGCTTGGGTAACAAGAGGGAAACTCCGTCTCAAAAAAAAAAAAAAAAAAAAAAAAAAAAATGTCAGTATTATATTTGAGCTTAAGAAAGTCTCTTCTGCCCCTGTGTCATACTAATAGTCTCCTGTATTTTATAATTAAAGCTTTAGGGTTTTCTTTCCACATTTAGGTCTTCATTCCATTTAGAATTTAAGTGTTCAATTGTGAGACAAGGATCCTGTTTTATTTTTTTCTCTATGGATACTAGTAATCTTCGCACTGTTTTTTGAACAATCCAGTTCCTACTCACTGAATTATCATGCTGCCTTTGTCACATCCATCATGTTTCATGGATTTCTGCCTGTGTTTGCATCACTCCCACACTGCCTTTAATGCTTTCTCACTAAGACTTTGTCTTTGCAAGAGTAAGATTCCTGCCTCCACCCACTCCCCACTTTGTTGACTAGTCTTCAAAATTATTTGGGCTATTGGGATTTTATACTTTGTATGAATTTTAGGATCAACTTGTTTAGATCCATGAAAAAAAATCTGTTAGAGATTTAATTGAATATGCATTTGAAATTATGGATTACTTGGGGAGGGGGAGAACTGACATCATTACAGTCTGTTCATTCGTGAAAACAATGTATTTAGATTTTCTTTCATGTCCTTTACCTTGTAAATTTTTATGTAAAAGCCTTATGCTTCTTTCATTAGATTTCTTCCAACATGCCTTATAGTTTCTGTTGTCAATGTTAATGAGATTTTTTTCTCTTATATTTTCTATTAGTTATTTTGATAATGTGGAGATAATACTGATTTTATGTGTTCATCTTCTTATGTCCAGAAACCTTGCTGACCCCTCTTCTCAGCTATAATAGTTTGTCTGTGGAGTCTCTTTGATTTTCTATGTTGTCTCATCTTCAGATAAAGACAGCTTCCTTTTCCATTGCAGGTTGAATGTCTTGTATGGAGTTCAGACTTTATTCTCTATCAAATTAGGAGCCGTTGAAGGTTTTGAGTATATAAGTGACATTTAAATATTACATTTGAGAAGAAAAATTTTGGTAGCCAGGAGACAGTGTGAAGATAAACAGGGGGTCAGTTAGGAGACACTATTATTTTAGTCACAAGATATGGCAAGCCTGACCTTGGGTAATAGCAAAAGGGAAGGAAGGACAGGAATAAATGTAAGCGCTATTTTAGAATTAGGATCAAAGGGACCAAGTAAATGAGTAAATATGAGAGCGAAGATTCAGGGAGTCAACTGTGACACCTAGGTTTCTACTTATAAACCTGAATAATATTCACAGGAGGAGGAACAATGTTCAAAATATCCGCTTCTCAGCAGGGCTAGGATAGATATTTGGAGCTTATCTGTGTATAGATAATCATTCTCAGCAATTTGATTTGAATAGCATTTTCCTTAGTTTGTTCTTCAAAAATCTCCATGTAGGTCAGTATCAGCCTGAAATGGAGCTTCCGGAGACCCAGAGGTTGCAGAGTGAGCTTGATGTATTAGATGTGGATATCCTTCCGGAAGAAGGACCATTTATCCTAGACCAAAGTGCAAGCTTCAAAGACGAGACGTTAGCCGTGGCAAAAACAAAAGCAGTGCAAAAGAAGCCTATGACTGAGAAAGTGCCATTTAGGAAGAAAGATACTCTGGCACCAGCAAGACAGCAAGTATGAAATCATTCCTTTCTTTTGGCCCATTTATATTTATCCGACATTGTCAAGGTCATATAAGCTGGTATGTGGTGGAGCCAGTTCTCAGGCAGTTGGATGCTAGAGTCCTTGAGCCTGGCTATTTAAGTTATTTATATATTTTAACAACAACAAAAAATAACAATTTTTAATATTGTTACTAGAATAGAGAATTCTTTCTATTCCTGGTTTGGTAAGATTCTAACTAATATAATACCAATAACTAATTGGGCAGGAGATTTTAAAATTAGTTTTTTTTTTTTTTTTTTTGATTTTAAAATTAGTTTTTTTTTTTTTTTTTTCTGCTTCTGATTTGGAAGGGTGAGATTTGAGGGGATTAAGATCTGGTTCCTGCCGGGGGTGGTGGCTCACACCTATCATCCCAGCACTTTGGGAAGTGAGAGGATTGCTTGAGGCCAGGAGTTTAAGATCATCCTGGGCAACATAGTGAGACCCCATCTCAACTAAAAACAAAGTTAAAAAGAAAATTAGCCAGATGTGGTAGCTAATGCCTGTAGTCCCAGCTGTTTGGGAGCCTGAGGCAGGGAGATCACTTGAGCCGAGGAGTTTAAGACTAGTGAGCTATGACTGAGCCACTGTACTCCAGCCTGGGCAACAGAGTAAGACCCTGTCTTAAAGAAGAAGAAAAAAAAGTTGGTTCCTGCTAAAGATAAATATTGATCAATAATAATTACTGAATATTAAAAGGGCATCCTAGGGTGAGTGCTTTCTAATATGGCTTTGGGAGCCAGCAAGGTAAAACTTGGTTTGAAACTATGTTTTATATTTTAAGCTTCTGTTTAAACTTACCTATGGCCCTATCAGTGGAAAACTGGCCGAAAGACCACCTCCTAGTTGAACACCTTTATTGTATTAGTGACATTTGGTGGTCTTGCCTAAAGGCTTCTGTAGCAAATCTGTTTATTTTCAAGTGGCCTCCAAAAAAACAGAGTTAGCAGTTACCACAAGTTATTGACAGATAATGGATTAGGATCAAGTCCATTTCTTCCCAAACTTTTATGGGGATTAGGGGTCATTGAGGTGTCAAGATTGAACTTGTAAGAATTCAGGTGGGTGCTCTTCTCCAGACACAGAGCCTCATTCTCTATAGTATTTTTTAAATAGCCAGATTCATTCTATTTAGACCTAAGGTTCAGACAGGTTAAGAGTTTTAACTAAGAATGTTTTATACATTACTTGAGCCCAGGAGTTCAAGACCAGCCTGGGCAACACAGTGAGACCCTGGCTCTACAAAAAATAAAAAATTAGGCATGATATCACGCACCTGTGATCCCAGCTACTCAGGAGACTAAGGCAGGAGAACCGCTGGAGCCCAGGAGTTTGAGGCTGCAGTCAGTTGTGCTCATGCCACTGCACTCCAGTGTGGGCAACAGAGCGAGACCCTGTCTCTAAAAAAAAAAAAAAAAGAAAAGAAAAGAAAAGAAAATAGGAAAATAATTTAACAATATGTAATGAGTTTTTTTTGTTGTTGTTGTTGTTGTTGTTTAATTAGGAAAAAGGTTGTAAATAAATAAAAATATATTTTATATATAGTTTATATGTTTAAAGGTGTCAGGTAGAGCCAGGGATTCCAATTCTATATGCTCCACTCCCACTCCTTACCATGGTTGTTTCAATGTAATTTATACCCTCCTCCAAATTTCTACCACAGTGCTTTCTACTCAGCTTTTACTGAATGGATACATGAATAACATAGAGAACTTGGAGCTTCAGTGAGGCAGAGATTGAAACCATCGTTTCTTTGATATTTGTTTGGCTTTATAATTCTTATTTACTCTCACAGGGACTCCACAAAGCTGAAAGAAGTAGACAAAGCCAACCTCACACTAAAAGCAGAGTGCAGCAGACAACAGTTTCATCCAGATTAAAAATGAACCGACAGCCTGTGAAAGACCGCAAGGCACCATGGATACCCCCAAACCCCACATCCCCACCAGCATCTCCTAAATGGTATGTGAAAACTCAAGGGACTGTTTGTTTATGTGATTCTGTTTTCCTCCACATATCAAAGGTGACCTATAGCTCATAAGACGCAAATGAAGTAGTAGCCTTAATTTTTTCCATTAAGAAGAAATGCTTTTTTGGGTGAGTCATACATGAGAAGTCTTTGTCTGGAAGCTTGTTGGTTCCTTCTTCTTCCTGACTGTAGTTGGAACAACTTTTCCATGGCCCACCCCAACACCCAGGACATGTGTCATTGTGTGGAAGATGATGGGCTTCGCTTCACTTGTCTCTTCGGCCAATTGATTCGAGAAACTTGAGGCCAGGGACTTTCTTTTTTATATTTGAATGTCCAGTGCTAGGTGTATAGTAGGCATTCAGTAAATCTTTGCTGAGTAAATAAATATTTTAAAATAATTCTAACTCTATATCAAGATAATTGTGAACCGTAAAACCATGTAGATGTCACCAACATTGTCTTAGCTGTGGGGAGCAGTGAGGATAATGTTGATATTACTGTCTTGTCATCCTGATTCATAGCACATGGAGAATGAGAAGCTGCCATTTCACAGGGCTAGAGAGAAGAGCAGCGTCCAGTTAGGTGGAAATAATCTTTAGGGGAATTGGTTGAAGATAAAGGGGAGCTTATTTGCCATGAGACAGTAGTTCTTGAAAACGCAATGGAAAGGACCAGGAGGTGGAACAGAAAAAATAAAGAAATAAAAAGCAGTAATGTTGGGGAGAACAAGGGAGAAGATAGGGGACTGGAGGGTTCTGTCATTGGGAGCCATCAGAAGTCAGGGTGAGTAGCCTGGTAGAAGAGAAGCCCCTAAGATTCCAAATGAATGTGAAGGTTTGGCTGTGCTCATCCATCCATTCTTGTTTTAAAGTTAAAGAAACAATGTTTAGAGAACTTAATGTCTTACTCATCTAACAGCCAGACCTCAAATCAGGTCTTCTGATTTCATAATGTGCTTTTTTTTGTTTTTATTACTGTATTCTGTTTTCTGTATTTTTGTATACAAGTATTAATATGGAGATGTACCTTCAGTTGGTAAGCTAAATTGAAGTTTGTATTGCAAACCAAATATACAGTGGACTGTCTTTTAGAGTGCATGTGTGGTTGGCAGGGGACGGTGGGTGGGACTTCTAGGCTTATGGCGCTGTTAGGCCTTGTAAAGATAGAGTTGTCTTATACTATGGAATGTAATTAGTGATCCAAATCTATATATTGTAACAGTTTTGTTGACATTCACCCAGTGTTCTGTAATTGATCACTATTTCTCATTTAAAATCCTGATGGCTTCTTTGAAGCAAAGGAGAATTTCTCCCCTTTGGCACTGAGCCTGAGTGCTGGAGGATCTCACTCTTCTTCACATGCAGCTTCTACTTTAGGACCCCATGCTACACATCACCATTAATTTAATTCTGTCATCTTCTCTGAGCTGGCACCTACTTGGATGAGTCACTGGACACGGAGTAAATGATGACAAAGGTGCTTTTTTGCAGTGCTGCATGGCTAAAGGTGAAATCTAGCCCCAGAGATGCCACAAAAGAGTCTCTCCAGCAAGAAGATACTCAACAGGAAAATCACTTGACAGGTGCAGTTGAGCACGAGGCAATCAGGTTTGTGCTGGTATTTTTCAGATCTTTGAGAGTTAAAGAGCTCCTTTTACATAGACGTGGAAGTTAACCTTTTCTTCTCTTTTCTGTATATGAAGTTGGTTATTTAAAATGCAGGTTATTAAAAAAATAAAGTAAAATGTAGTTTATTAAACTTTTCTGTCAAACTATATAGCTTGCGGTGAGCTCCTCTATTTTTTCTTATGTCATTCATTCATAAATTATATGTGTGTCAATTGTATATCAGTTGCTGGTTTTGTATAGGACACTGTTATGAGCTCTATGGAGACTTTAAAAAGGGCAAATAGACCATAATCCCAGCCCTTGCTTATTTACAGTCAATAGAGAATATACGTAATTAGCTATAATTTAAGATAGAACAAGGTGTGTAACCTAGGAACTGAGAGAGTTTAGAAAGGGGAGAAAGTTACTTCTTGCTGCAGAGGTCTAGGCTTCATGGATTGAGATGGAAATTAAACTACGACCTGAAGAACAGGCAGGATTTCAATATGGGAGATGAGGTGAGAACATTCCATAGGAAGAGAGCAGTGAAAACAGCTTTCTCTACATTCTTTTGGCTGAAATTATTCTTGCAATTATGGGAAAGCAAAAATGAAAGTGGTCCATTAAATAATTTGACAATATTCACGTATCCTAAACCAAAAGAATCAAAGCATTTTTACATACAACAGAGTTGTCCACAGTTAACTTTTCCCTTTTGTTTTTATTTGACTTCACTATGCCTATATGGCTCCTGGGGGTTCATTGTTGAGTCTAAACTTGAAGATACAGCTAGGGTTTTGTTTGAGTCTAATAAGAAACCCAAAGTACAAGTGATAGCTAGTTTTCTTGAGAACCTTTGAGACAGGTTCTTACTGCGTTGTACACTAACTCAGAGTACTTATGTGCATAAAAGTATTTTCACATGGAACACGTTCTAGAGAGCTTTACAGGTACTGAGAGGTTTTGTAACCTACTGAGTACCTTAATAGAGCCAGGATTGGTGCTCTGCAGGGGGGTCCTGACTTCTGGTCTGTTTCTGTGATAATGACACCCTGCTGTGTTGAGGCAGAATTGGTTTGACTCTTCTGACTGTCTGCTAGGCTCGCTTGGCTTGATGCTGAAACTTCCAAAAGATTGAGGGAACTAGAAGAATTAAAGGCCAAAGAAATTGACAGCATGCAAAAACAGAGGTAAGTATTTGTTCCTGAGGTAGGAAAAGGTAAGCAGGACTGTTCTGCATCTCTATACATTAGCAGTAAATAGAGGTTGTTTAGGTCTAGCTACCCTTCTTATATTTATTGGCTTTCTGCCTCCTTAAAAGACTGTGAAGTCACCTAAGAAGCCTGCAGGGAGCCAAGACTGGAGCTCAAGGGAGTCCTGACTCTGCTTTGAGGAGAGTTGGGGTGATTCTTGATACTGTTTTCTAGGCTTGACTGGCTTGATGCTGAAACTTCTAGAAGAGCAAAGGAACTGAATGCTCTCAAAGCTGAAGAAATGGATAGACTCCAAAAATTGAGGTATGTATTTGCTTCTTAGAAAGAATAATGGATGCTTCCCTGTTCTAATTGATCTGGATAGTCCTAACAACCAACCTGGACTGTTAAGGCCTAACTTCATTACATCAATGAATGAATACCTGCATATCTACCTGTGTATTATACCATACTTTTTTCTAGGAAATGTTTCTTTTGTGTGGAGTTTGAAGGAGGACTGAACAAAATCTGTAATTTTGGAGTTCTGTCTGAAAGATCAGAGTCTTATGTTGATTTGTTTGGACTACCCTCAAAAGTACTTTTCTCTAGCCAGATATCAGCCCTTCTCAGATCAGAAGATTAGTATGATGCACATACATGTGCTGCTCATATGAGTCAACATATAGCTACTTTCATTTCACATGTTAGTCTGAATGCAGGCTATAGTTTTCAATAATGTGGTTCCCTTTTTCTATTCACTCCCTAAGTGTTTTCAAAGCGATAGGCACTGTAGGCATAAAGAAGCTTGTTAAAAGATTTAGTTCAGCTGCTGCTGCAATTGCCTCATTTTTCCAACTCTGATAATAATTCACTCTGTAGTCACATTAACAGAACACTTATTGAGACACCTGTGCATTCTGTCACCATTCATGATGGATTGTTTATCTCAGGTTAGAAGGGCTGTGGGTATATCATTAGAGGGCCGAGACTTTTTGTCAAGTCATACAATTTCAGAATCTTGGGATCTGAAGGATCTTTTTCCCCCAACTGATGCTTTTGGCTCTTCTCTGCTATCTCCATCAGGGAACTGTCCAGTATATTTACACACACCCTTTGTGATGGGATAGTCACTACTGTCTGAGGGAATCCATCTCATGGTCATTTATAGCTAAGAAGGTGTGACCTTAGGCTGTGTTGAAATTTGATTCTCTGTGACTCTTACCCACTTGTCCTTTGGGCCATATAGCAAAAGCTTAATCCTCTGTGCCCCATTTATTTCTCTGTATGTTTTTACTTCAAAAATTAAACATATCATACATATAGAACATACTAAATGCACATGTACAATCCAAAATATTACAGAATGAACCTGCACATACCACCATTGTAAGCCACGAAATCAGCCATTGCCGCTACCACAGAAGTTTCCAGTGTGTCCCTCCTCGGTTGCATCCCTTTTCCCCCAGAGACAGCCACTGTCCTGATTCTTGTGTTAATCTTTTCATTACTCTTCTTCATAAACCTGTCGTCTATGTGTGTATCCCTAACAATATCTTGTTTAATTTTGAAAACTGAGAAACAGGCACAAATCTAGCTAAAATTGGCAAGGGCAGTGTTGATGGTGGTATCATCTGAAGACTCCTAGGGGAAGACAGGTTGAACAGAGTCTGGATACCAGTCTGACTTGTGCTTTCATGAGAGTTTGTAGGTGCCCCACTCAGGAGGTCACTGAGCAGGGTCACGAGTGAGTCCTGGCACACATAGGGCATCCTCCATCTGGAGGGGCTGTAGGTGAGCCAGGTCCACTGGACTTCGGGAAGAAGCCTGGTCAGGAGAGGGGCTGTCTTGTAACACACTGCCTCTCAGATCTTTCTGGTGGGGATGAGATGAGTATCCTTAGCAGACAGCAGATCATGGAGGGAAGAGCAGAAACTTCATCAGCAGAAGGGTAAGACAGGCCAGGAATCTAGGCTTGGAGCTGCCATTTCCCATATTGTGTTGTAATCTTCTTCAGTTTGCTTTCTTGTTTTTGATAGAACACATGCTAATTTAGCTGCTTTTTTTTTTTTTTTTTTTTTTCATTAGGATCAGGGTCTCACTATGTTGCCCAGGCTAATCTTGAACTCCTGGGCTCAAGTGATCCTCCCACCTTGACCTCCCAGAATGCTGGAATTAGGCATGGGCCACTGTACCCTACTTAATTTAGCTTCTTGAAAAAGGATGAATGGGAATTAAATCCTTTCACACCTTTCAAGTCTGAAAATGTCTTTATTTGCTGATAAACCTTACAAATCTCATATTTGCTGGTAGCCTTACTGGGTGTAGAAGATTATTTTTATTGGAAATTTTTAAATTAAGCTTCTTATTATGAGGTAATTATAGAGTCACACAAAAACCCAATTTCCCAAATGGTAACCTCTTGGGAAACTACAATACAGTACTACAACCAGGATATTAACATTGGTATAGTCAAAATATAGAACATTCCCACCCCTAGAGATTCCCTCATTCTGCCCTTTTGTAGCCACACCCCTTCCTCTCCTGCCCTCATTCACTGCTTGGCTAAATGACTCCTGGCAACCACTCATCTGCTCTCCCTGTCTATAATTTTGTTATTTCAAGAGTGTTATTGTAAGCGGAATTATATAGTATATAACTTTTTGGGATTTCTTTTCTTTACATCATTCTCTGGAAATTTTATTGAGCTTATCGCATGTATCAGTAGCTCATCCTTTTTATTGCTGAGTGGTATTCCATGGCGTGGATGCAAACAAACCATAGTTTGTTTAGCCATTTACCTCTTCAAGAACATCTGAGCCTGTGGTCTCAGCTATTCAGTAGGCTGAAGTGAGAGAATCCTTTGAGCCTGTGAAGTTGAGGCTGCAGTGAGCCATGATCATGCTACTGCACTCCAGCCTGGGCAACAGAGCGAGACCCTGTCTCAAAAAAAAAAAAAAAAAAAAAAAAAGAACATCTGAGTTGTTTATAGTTTGGGGCCATTATTAATCCAGTTTCTATAAACAGTTGTGTACAAGTATCTGTGTGAACATGTTTCCCTTTTTTTCTGGGACAAATGCCTAGAGGGCAGTTGCGGGGTTGTATGCTAGTTGTATGTTTTGTTTCCGTTTGTTCCAAACTGCCATACTGTTTGCCAGGGTGCCTCTGTCTGTTCCTACCAGCAGTGTTTGAGGGATCCCGTTGTTCTGCCTTTTTGCCAGCATGTGGTGGTGTCACTGTGCTTTCTTTCAGGCATTCTGATGGGTGTATCACGGCATCTGAACGTCTTTTCACGTGCTTGTTTGTGGCATGCAGCCGTGGGTTTTTCTGCAGTGTTTGGCTGCAGTAGGGCAGTTATTTTCTGTTTTCTGTCTTCCTAGGCTACCCCTTTCTTGGTCCTGTTGCTAGAGAGAGCAGACTTTATTTGCACTGGAGACTTCTTTTTTGTCTGTGTATGTTGGTGTTTCTGGGTTGCTGGCTTCTCTAGTACCTACTCTGGGATATATGAGGCAAAGAGAAATCCCAGAGAACTCGCTGCCCTGTCCTTCTTTTGGTCCCAGTGTTCCTAGCCGATTCTTAGTTGTAATTAACAGGAAGAATAGGGGAAAGTACATTTTTTCAACCTCTTCAGAAGCAAAAATCTGAGCATTTTTAATGAGAAATCAAAATTGCTTTTTAACCTTCTCTAGAGGCTTACAGGCTCTGTTTTCTCCTCTGGGTAGCTCAAAGTCATGATGATAGGACTTACCATGGGTGCATTTTCATTCATCGGTAGACCTTTTCAATCAGGCAGTTTATTTCCTTTAGTTCTGAGAAGTTTTCTTTTCTTTTTCTGCCTCTGTTTTCTCTATTCTCTCTTTCTGAAGCTCCTGTTCTTTGCTATTGGACTTCCTTGATTGGTCCTCTGATTTTCTTACCTGTTTTTTTCCTATTTCTTTCTTTCCCTGTCTTTCCTCTATTCTACCTCCACCCCTACCCTGCCCCAATAGGAGATTTCCTCCATCTTTAATATTTAACCCACTGAGTTTGTCATTTCTGCCAGTGTTTAAAATTTAAAAATTAAAAATGTTGAAAGCTCTATTATATTCTCCAAATATCTCTTACTCAGTAGTCTCCTATCCTTGTTTCATAGATACAGTGCTATTTTGAGTATACTAACATGTTTCCCCTGCCTTTTGACCGACATAATCTTTTTCTTTCCTTCCTTAGATGTCTAGTAATCTTGGCTATCTTCTCATGTTTAAATGTAGGACTGATTACTGATCAAAACCTCAGTGCATATGGATTGGAATTAGTATTTTAGTTTTTTAAAAATAATTGTTTCTATTGTGGTATAATTTACATACAGTAAAATGCAAAGAGCTTAAAGGTACAGTTCAGTGAATTTTGACAAGTGTATATGCCTGGGTAACCAAAACCCTAATTAAGATAAATAATTTGTTCTTCAACCTAGAAAGTTCCCACATGTCGTTTTTGGTCATCCTCTACTCCCCCCGCCCTCCTCCCCCCCACCATCCCTCACAGAGGCAGCTACTTTGATTTCTTTTACTGTAAGCAGCTTTGCCTGTTCAGACTTTATATGAATAGAATTATCAAGATCTGCTCCATTGTATCTGGCTTCTTTTGCTCAAGAAATATTTGAGATTCATCCACATTGTATGTGTATCAGTACAGTTCATCCATTTTAGTGCAGAATAGTATTCCATTGTGTGAATATGCCACAGTCCGCTTTTTCATTCTCCTGTAATTGACATTTGGGTCTTCCCCTTTATTGTTAGTGTGAATAAAGTTGCTACAGACATTCTTGCACAAGGCTTTCTTGTAGAAATATATTTCATGTCTTTTGGATAAATACCTAGGAGTATAATTTCTGGGTAATAGATTGGCAGTTGTGTAATTTTATTAAACCAGCCATATACATTTTCCAGAGTAGTAACATTTTTTTTTTTTTTTTTTAATTTTGAGATACAGTCTCACTGTCACCCAGGCTGGACTGAAGTGGCGTGATCTCACTTTACTGCAACCTCCGCCTCCTGGGTTCATGGGATTCTCCTGCCTCAGCCTCCTGAGTAGCTGGGACTACAGGCATGCACCACCACACATGGCTAACTTGTTATATTCTTAGTAGAGATGGGGTTTCACTGGGTTAGCCAGGATGGCCTCGATATCCTGACCTCGTGATCTCCATTCTCGCCTCCCAAAGTGCTGGGATTACAGGCAGGAGCCACTGTGTCCAGCCAGTAGTAACATTTTATACTGCCATCAGCAGTGCATGGGAGTTCATTTCTAGTTGGTTTACATTCTTGCTAACAATTGATCTTGTCAGTCTCTTAGTGATTCTGGTGAGAATGTGGGGGTGTCTCCATGTGGTTTTAATTTGTATTTCCTTGAAGACGAATGATGTTGGGCACCTTTTCTAGTCCTTATTGTGAAGTGTCTGTTCAAGTCTTTTGCCCATTAAAATTTTTTGTAAGTATTGATTTGAGTTCTTTGTATTTTCTGGACATGAGCCTCTTGCCAGATATGTGTGCAGCAGATACTTTCTCTCAGTACTCTGGCTTGCCCATATGTCTTCGTATTGGTGTCTTTTGATAATTGAAAGTTTTAAATCCTGATTAAGACCAGTTTATCAATTTTTCTTCTCTGATTAGTCATTTTTGGGGAACTATCTAAGAAATCATTGCCTATGTTAGGGTCTCAAGGATCTTCTCTTATGTTTTCTTTTAAGTGCTTTATAGTTTTAGCATTTATTCTTATGTCTGTGATCCATTTAGAATTAATTTTTTGTGTATGAGATGAAATGCTGATCAAAATTCATTTTCTTTCATGGATATCTAGCTATTCCATCAATATCTGATGAAAGTAACATCTGGACTGTTTGTTAAGAACACTTAGGTTGGTCTTTATGTCTTTCCTTTGGCATGGGTCAGACTGCCCAGAGAAGTTTTCTGATCTTTGGCCCAGAGAGTAAGGATCAGGATGTTGCTATCCTAGGAGCCGAGTTGGGAAGAGGACTGTGAGTCTAATGACACAGCATTCAGCATGCATACCTGACACCCACCTCTTTTGGGTATGGTACCTACAGCCTCAGCTGTGATTGGCTGCCCCTAGTCAAAAGACCCTCACACAGAGAATGAGCAACTCTCTTAGAGTTAGAAAGAGGCGACTGTATACTTGTGTGAAGCAGGGAAAGGGATCTAGGAGTCTTAATTTCTCAAACATCATTTGGCTCTTGTCAATTTTTACACCACCCCCTCCCAGCTTAGCCCAGGCCTAGATGTACCTGGTACTACCAGTTGTGTGCCTGGTTAAGTCAGCAGTACAAATTGTGTGGGTTCTAGTTTTTCCCATTACTGGCCTTAGAAGTCAACTTCCTCAGATCAGCTAAGTTAGTTATTATTTTGTCCTTTGTTTTCCAGCGCCTTTTTTTTCTTCCTTGTTTTTGTGCTTATAAAGCTAACTCCCCTGGTTTCAGTGGGATTTGGAGAGGGAATAAAATTAGTTTCTTTTGTTCAGTTTACTATCCTCTTTAGCTGTTGATGGCAACCATTATTTTTTTAAAGGATACTCAGTGCCTAACACTTCAGATGTTACCTAAATCCTTGTGCATAAAGTAAGGCCCAAGGCCACTCTGCCACATCACCTAGGAGCTTGTTGGAAATGTAGACTCTCAGGCCTTACTCAGACCAAGTAAATTGGAATCTACATTTTTAAAAGATCCCTGGGGATAACTGGTATGGCCGTTAAGGGTTAGAGAAGCTCATGGTTTTTATAATCATTCTATTTCCCTTTACCTGGAGTGGTAAATAAATATGCAAAATAGGATATTTTATTGCCTTTGATTTTAATTTTCAATTTTATTTCTAAATAGTGTTTCTGCCACCCAGTTAGCAGACAAGGTAGAGGAGGCAGTTCTGGATCGTTTGAAGCCTCTCTTGGTCAAGGCCCAGGTAATCTAGTTCATTTCATTTCCTTGCTTTTTGGAAGTTCTAGATTTAAAGAGTTGCTACAGAGGTCTCACTGATCCTTTATAGGACCAAGTGTCTCTGTGGCAGCTGGAAGATACCCCCAGACCACCACACACTACTAACGTGCCCTCCGTCATGGAGAAGGTATAGAGATAAAGGGACAAGGGGAAAGTCCTACATTGAGACAGTTGAGATTTCAGTTTGGGAAGCAAGTTGAGATTGTAATCCTTGTTCCTAATGAAATAGATCTGTTGGTGGAGTTAGTGTTCCGTTAACAGCTTTCACTCGAATGCTGTGTTTTTTCACCTCTGTGGTTTGGAATGATGGGCTTTATTTTTCCAAAGGAGAGAGATGTTACAATGGCTTCTGTGAACAATCCAGTACTTTCTTGAGGATGAAATTATGTATGGTATCACCAAGAGGTTGTACCATCCTCCCATAAGCAGTAAGCTCAATTCTGTAGCCAGACCCTGTTGGTCCACCCTGTAAATAGAAACAATCTTGTGTGTATGACTAGATGAGGCCACAGAAAAATATTATACATTTAAATGAAATAAATGACATTTGGGGTCCCTAAACAGGCCCCTGAACTTCTCTATTTTTAGTTAGAGAAATGTTACATTTTTATTAGAGTCCATGGAGATATCAGTAGTATAGAGCTAGGAAGACTCTTAGAAATCAAGTAGTCTTGAGCTGTAGAGTGGTTGAGAGAAAAAAAATAAAAGAAATCAAGTAGTTCAGCTTTCTCATTTTATCATTGAGGAAACTGGAACAGAGAGGTTGAATGACTTGCATAAAAGCATGCAGCTATTCTAGCAATGTTTACAGAGTTGAGGGAAGAAAAAGGCTGGAAAGCCAAGATCAACACATGGCGTTTATTTCCATGAAGACAAAGTGCTTTGAATTGCTGCAGAAGCCTAATGTAGCTAAAGCTGATGAATAGTTCCACACAAGTTATTCTGGTAGTAGAATTCATTTGTACTAATAGGAGCTGTAAGTTTTTATACTCCATGAATGTATTTGTCTCTTTTACTAGAGAGTCAATTCTGCTACAGAAGCAAATACTCACTTGAAGGATGGTTTGTCAGTAAACACGACAGCCCAGCCTGCACAGGAGGTATGTGTTGTGTGGTGTTGGCATTCTGGTATTATTGCTTGATAATGTCTTCAGTTATAACAAAAATGATATACAGAGTGCTTTGCAAACACTAGATTATCCTACTCAGTAAGTATGAATATTATTTTCCACATTTGGCATGCTAATTCTTTCAGCGTATATTTAGTATTATGAGTTAGGTCCGCCTTGCAAACAGCACACAGAAATCTTACAACCACAGGTTTATGTTAGTGGCTCTTTGTCCCTCCTCCGGATAACAGAGTGTAGGTGCCCTTTGTGGCCCTGAATGTCGATGGCTTGTGGCAGAGTAGCTGCCCTCATTTCCTTTCATTCAGCCTAGTTTTACTCATTACTGTCCTAATTTTCTTTATACTTGGGGCCTAATATTTACTGTTAGGCAAGCATGTTTTGGGTACCTAATATGTGACCAGTATCTGGCTTAGCAGAGAGAAAAAGGTGACCCAGGAAAAAAATGAGAAAATTTGAGAAAAATCAAAACATGTTTTATTGTCCACTCTGTATGCTTCCTCTGGAGGACCTGTTTTTAATATTTGTGGAAATGTTTCTACCTTGCCTAGGCTTAGAGCTGCGGAGTGAAAGGTGCAAGTTGCATCCATTTAATCTTTCTGGAGCTTGGAGAGACATTTATTTCCTTAATTGCCCAGAGCAAGGAGAGGAAGCCTCATTCCATCTTCCTTCCTAGGCTTCAGAGCAGAAGGAAATTGGAATGAAGTTCCATCAACCCAGTGACCTTAGGGGCAGGAAGAAGGTAGATTTCAAGAATGTATCCCTATTCTGATTATTAAACAATATTTTAGCTGTAACATATTTTCATAATCTCTGTGATTATAACTTTATTGTCCCAAGGTTTTATGACATAATCTGATGTGAAGTGAGACTTCTAAGACTGAAAGCTAAAAGCCTACCCTACATTTGGCCATTGCAAATTCTGGTGTGTTATGGCTTTGTGTTTTTTTGCAGCTTAGCCACTAAATGATATATACATACATATATATATATATATATATTTTTTTTTTCTAGAGGAATAATGAGGCTAACATTTAACATAGAGAGGCAACTCCATCTTGCACTATAATATGAAAGGAAAATGAAGTGATGATGAATGCTGGCAGTGAAATAGACATGTTTGAGTGTACTAGGAATGATCAGCCGTATATATTAGAATTATTTTGTAGTCATTACCTGATGTTTAACACAATTCTTTGAAACAGAAACGTAACTCTATGTAGTATTTAGAATTCTGGGCTGTTGTTAAATAGCAACATCATTGCAGAATATTCCAGGCAGCACCATCAAGAGTCAGTTTACAAAGAACTGAATGAAAACAAACAAAAGCAGAAAAACTCATAAAAGTTGGCATGAAATAGAAAATTTTTTTTTACTCTGTTAACTTATAAAAGAGCTGGGAGACCTTGAACACAGATTCTCTCAGTATTCTCATCTTTAAAATGGAGGAGACATTGGCAAGTAAAATGTAGCTCTCTGTAGATTTACTTATAGACAAGATTATCTCTGATTTCAGGAAAAAGCTCTTGTAAAGGTACCATTATAACATGTCTGTTTGTTGCTGCTACTGTTGTCATTAACTAAACATGCACATTAAATGTATTTTTCCAAAATGTATGAGTTCTTTTAGAATTAAAAGTTATATACATGCACATGGCTAAAAATTTAAATAATTCAGAAGAAGTATATGAAAAGTTACACCTCCCCATAAGCAGGTGCCATCTGCTGTTCTATACTCCGCTTCTTTATTTATAATATAGTTTTGTGCCCTTTCTGTGTCATTGCCTTGAGACCTTCCTTATCTTTTATAATGGCAAAAAGTATTTTTGGTGTTCTATTCTTTATAGATGGAAAATATATGCATGCAAGCATTATTGGTTGTCTCTAGATTTTTTGTAATTTTATTATACGGTTATTCAGTTTAATTTTTATTTCTTTAACTTTGATTAAGGTTGGAAATTTTTTATTATCTTTGTTGGCCATTAATATATTTTCTTCTGTGAATCATTAAAGGTTTCTTAAATTGCCATAGCTGCAACCATTCATTGAGTGTCTTATTTCATGCCAAGCACTATGCTAAGTGTCTCAACATGCAAGCTCTTATGAAATCCCTACAGCTCTGCTTTATAAGAGTATTTCCATATTACAAATAAGAGGAATAAGGCCCAGAGAGGTCAAGTAAACTTGCCCAAAGTTTCCAGCTTATGAGTGGGGAGAACCAGAATTTAATTCTAGAAATACTTCATTCTATTGCCTGATACAATTAATTCCCGCAGCAAACATTCTTTGCAAAAGCCTCTTTCAGGACAGATTATAAACATGTATTCAAATGAAATACAATACATGTAAAATTGCTTTGGAAACTGGAAAGTGCTTTTTGGAAACTGGAAAGTGGATTACAGGTACAGAGTTTCAAAGACAAAAAATCGTGAACTTTGTGATGTCATATGAGCAGACGTTTTCACAGAAGCACTGCACCAAAAGAGAATAGTTACATTCTCTGAAATGTGTGACTTGTAAACTATTGGAGATTCTTCTGAATGCAGCAAAAGGAAGATATTTGTTCCACCAACTGGCAGAACAGATGATAATGATAATTTACGTGGACGGTAATGGTATTACTTGGTTAATGCTATCATTTAAATGATTGTGATAAAAATTGTCTTGATATTATTGCTTTTGATACTGACTTAGAATTTTGTTTTAGCATAGAAACTCTGCCATTTGAATCTGTATGTTGTTGGTTTATTATGATTAGCAATAATTTTTAAATGTTTCTGTTTTCCTTACATCGCCTTCCCACCCCTAATCCACCCCGTGCCTCCCCTCTCCCCCCATCTTGTAGGTTACAGCTGTTGATTCTGAATCCAACAACATACATCAGCTTGATGATTTTTTGGAAGATTCTGCCCATGAGCTCTGGGCCATGACTCATGCTAAGATCTTGGGGTCTGAAACCTTAGCCACCACTGAGGACAGCAAAGATAGTCTAGATCTGGAGATCATGATGCGCCGAATGGAAGAAATGGAAGTAAGGTCTGGGGCTCTGGATCTTGCTCACCGCTAGGGGCTGGTCTCTGCAGCTTCATACGTTAGAGTCACACAGTCCCCAGTTTTAAATCCCTGCCCAATTGCCAACTAAGTGCATGACCTTGGTGTAGACAACACCTCTGATTATTAGGGAGTTTAAGGATAAAATGAGGCAGCAAGTATTCAGCACACTACTCGCCATGTAATCTAGTAAGTGACCAATTATTACTCTTGCTATCACTGATGCGTAATTCCAAAAACACTGAGACCAGGGCCTGGGCCCACAAATGGGATCATAGGCTTTTGCATCTGTCAGCCTGTAAGTACTATTCAGTTTGCCTCCTCTTCCCTGTTAGAGTGTGATCCTATCAAATCATAGATAATTTTATCTTCTTCAATTTCCATGATGCTGCTTCACCCAGCCTAACCCGTGGATTGTTCAGTGCAGGAAATTGAGGTATAATAAGGAAGTGAGTGACATGACCAAGGTCACAAAAAAATCCTGGCAGAGCCAAAATAGGAATCGAGGTCTCTTGACTCTCAATTCAGCATTTTCTTTTTAACTGTACCATGATTAACTCTAATTTCTGCTTTGCTGATAAATAGAAACATTATAGGGAAAACAATTTTTTTTGAAAGTTTAAAGGTATGCAATTTACCCCAGTCTTGAAATTTCCCCTTGGTGATAGTTGTCTAGGCCTGGGATGTGCAAAACAGTAGCCACTAGCCACAGGTGCTTATTAAAATGTAAATTAATTAATTAAAATTAAACACAATAGTTAGTGGCTGCTGTGTTGGACAGGGCACATATAGAACATTTTCTTCACTGCAGCAGCTTCTAATGGACAGTGCTGGTCTAGATTGCATTTATGTTCATTGCTTTATTTTATTTTAGACTTTTTCTCATGAACTAATTACTTCCTGGCCTGACAGATGCCCATTTCTGACAGTATGTTTGTATCAGTTGTGTCTGCTGAACTTTTACATCTTTACTAGTTCTGCTTTGTAATGAAACTCATTTTTTTCTCCTAAACTTTTTTTTTTTTTAAAAGAAATACCAGGAGTCAGTTCGTCAGAGATATCATAAAATCGTATATGCTGATCCTCGCCTTTGGATGCAGGAAGAAAACAATGGTGAGTGTTTCCCCCAGGCTTCCCCTAACATTTTATTCTGAAAAATGTCAAACATACGGAATATAGAAAAAATTATATAATAAACACTCATATACTCCCCTTCTAGATTCTGCAGGTAACATATCACGCTCTTTGCTTTGTCACATATCTGTTTATCCCTCTATCCATCCATCAGTTCTTCTCTTTGTGTTTCAAAGTTGTAGATATCAGCACATTTTACCCCTAAATATTCAGCATACCTATTATCAACTGGAGATTAATATTTACTTATGGCTTTTTTTCTGAGATAAAATTTGCAATGATAAAATGCACAGATTCTAACTGTGTCATTTGCTGGTTTTTAACAACTGGATACATGTCTGTTATGCAAACCCCTATCAAGATACAGAACATATCACCTTGGAAAGTTCCCTCATGCCTTGCCCCCACCACATAGACAGCCATTATGCTTTCTTAGTTAGCTTTGATTGTCTAGAGTTTCATTTAAATGCAATCATACTGTATGTACTCTTTTGCTTAGACTTCTTTCATTCACCATAGTGTTTTATAGATTTATCTATGTTGTTTATTTCCTGTTGCTGTGATTAACAAATTTAAGTTTGTAACAAGTTTAAGCTACATATTTAGTGGCTTAAAGCACAAATTTATGCTCCTGCAGTTCTGCGGTGTCAGTAGTCTGAAGTGAGTCTTAAAGGATTGAAATCAGGGTGTTGGCAAGTTCACACTAGAGGCTCCAGGGAAGAATCTATTCCTTGTTTCTTTCAGCTCCTAAACTTTGGGCTATTAGGAATAAATCTGCTATGAATGTATACATGTGTATAATCTTTGTGTGTATGTTAAGTTTTTCTCTTGGATGAATACCTAATAGTAAACTTGCCAGATCTTAAGATTAGTTTGTGTTTAACTTTATAAAAGATTGACAAATCTACTCCAAAGTGGCCTTGCTCCTGTATCCAACATCCTTGCCAACATTTGGTGTCATTAGTCTTTTTAAAGTAACCATCCTGGTGAAGGTGAAGACACAGTTTTATTCTGTAGGCCAGGCTGGAGTGCAGTGGTGCAATCTTGGCTCATCACAACCTCCAGCTCTCGGGTTCACGCAATTCTTCTTGTCTCAGCTCCCAAGTAGCTGGTACTACAAGTGTGCGCCACCAGCCCCAGCTAATTTTTTTATTGTTAGTAGAGACAGGGTTTTGCCATGTTGGGCCAGGCTGGTCTCAAACTCCTGCCCTCAGGTGACCTACCCCCCTTGGCCTCCTAAAGTGCTACGATTCCAGGCATGAGCCACTGCGCCCAGCTCTTTTTAAGTGATTATTAGGCATTTGCATGTTTT